TAATATATTTCTGAGTCTGTGTCGGATCTTAGTATAATGGAAGTTGATGTAAAATTGGTTCACTCTGCATTATCATCGAATGGGGATGATTGCTTCGAGTTGGGCTTCATCGTGCAAGGCTGTTATGAAATCTTAGAATCTCGACCAAATGTATCTGTTAAATGTGTTATTATAAATGGTAATCAAGTGATCCACCATATTGCGAAACTTACATACTTGTATTATAGTTTTTATATTTGGGATACGTTATTTTTAAATATTGTTATACTCTTATTAGTATGAAATGATAATTTTTAGTTTCCTCTAAAAAAAATTAATTTTTAATTTATTCTAAAAATCATTATATGGAATATATACCCTTTATTTATTAACTAAAATTACATTTGAAAAATAAAATTTTTAGAAATTAGGATTTATTTAAGTTTTGATAGATGAAATTTACAAAATTTGAGAAAACTTTTTTGATAGTATGAGGCGGAGTGCACTGGAATATAACCCAAACCTCCGTTACCATCCAATCTAACGACGTCATAGACTGGCGGTTACACTTTCCCGTCAAACGGATTTTTCTCCCGCCTCTTCTAAAATATTCTCCATTATAAGAAAGGAAAAAGAAAAACACACTATAAAAAACACCTACCAGAAAGAAAATCCGAATCAACCATGGCCGCCAATCTATCTTCGTCGTTGAAGAAATAGATTGGTAGAGAGAGAGACTGATTTTCTATTTTTTCTTTGATGAAGAAGAAGGTTGGTGAATTGAGGAGAGAAGGGAAAGCCAAGGGTGCTTCTTCTCCTTCTTCACCTTCATTTGCCACCTTCTTCTTCTTCTTCTGTACTTCTTTTGATTAGTTGAGGAGATCGTAAAAGGGTTTGTTGGGTGAATATTGAGTCCCAACTACCCTAGATCTGTTCTCAAAAAGAAAACTAAATTTTCTGTTAGGATATTGGTGGAAATTTTTTTGGGGGATTTGGGTCTCTGCATCTAGACTTATCCTGTAATTTTCTTTTGTTTTTTTTGTCACTAGAATTTCCAGGTGTTAGAGACCCATATCAGATCCAAGTTCCCACCATTTTCTTTTTTCTTTTTCATCATCATCATCATCATCATCATCGTCTCCATCTCCAACCAACAACACGCCATTACCTTCTTCCTCTCTCTATATACCTTTACTATATCCACCTTTACCCTCTAGTTGAATGACACTTGTTCAGGTGTCTGTACTTTTGGGTTCTCTTTGCTTTCAACTCCATTTATTTTTTATTTAATGCCAAAAAAAATTCCTTCTTTTTGATTCCAATAAATTTTGATTGGACATTGAAGATTACTCATTAGTCATATTCTCCATTTTTATTCTGCTGTAGACTTTTCAACCAGAAGGCCCACTTCTGGGTTTTGGTGGGCTTCTGTTAACCAATAAAAACCCAATTTTTTTGTCTTATTATTATTTTTTCCTCTTTAAAAATCTATCTGTTAATGATCCCACTTGATTTTATATTATTTTTGCAAAGGTGTAGACGAGGGGAGGAAGGTAAAGGAGAAGACCAGAGTCCTCAAGGTTTATTTTACCAGTTATTTTTACTATAGAATTCCTCCATTTATCTTTCTTTTTGGGGTTAAGATCCCAAAAAAATCACTACCCATACCAGATTTTCCTGCTATAAATACTACTTTATTTCTTCATCATTTGTTTCTCCTTAAGTCATCTTCTCCAACTCAATAATCCTTTGAGCCTTCTCCAAAAACGGTACCGTAAGGCAGTCGAGCTCCTCTCTTTTTCTTCTTGAAGTTAATAGTTGTCTCCTTCCATTCCCTGGTTGGATTGGTAAAGAGGAAATTTTCCTTGACGATGACAGTCAAGAAGAGAGTTTTTGATGAGGGTGATAATGTCGAGGAGGAAGTTGCAGAAGAGATGTCCATATTGGACTTGCCGGACTTGGCCTTGGAATGCATTCTCGAGCGGCTGCCGCCGGCGGGACTTTGCAGCATGGCCGGCGTGTGCAGCTCGCTGAGAGAGAGATGCGTGAGTGATCATATGTGGAAGAAACACATGGACCAGAAATGGGGGAGGATTATTGGTCCTGCTGCTTGCAGAGAGTGGCAATTGCGTATTGCTTCTGTGAAGGATTCTAGCAATCTCAGACAAGTCAAGAACAACGGTTGGACCAGGCTTCTCTCAATTGTCAGACCCCTTTCATGGATTAGATCAAAGTTTGATGACAGCAGTAAGCAGAAGAGTTATTTGCCTGTTGATTCTCTCATGTCCTGGTACCTTGCTCTTGAGACTGGTAGCTTCTGGTTTCCTGCTCAAGTTTATAATCGTGAGGTATAGGGACCCTAAAGCTCTGAGTTCCATTCTTTAGATATCTAAATTCTCTTAGTTTGCTACGACGAATCTTGAGTTTCCGTCAATGGAATTTGTTCTGTTTTACCATCTAATTTCTAGTAGTTTGCTGCGATGAATCTTGAGTTTCCATCAATGGAATTTGTTCTATTTTACTCACAAATTGCTATTGAATATCTCTTATGCAGAATGGCCATATTGGGTTTTTGTTGTCATGCTATGATGCTGAGCTGAGTTATGATGCCCGGACTGACACCTTCCAGGCCAGGTGAATTTCTTCAGCGCCCACATTTTTCTTGTTACCCTTTACTTTCTTGAGTAATTCTGGTACTTTCTTTATTAGTTTAAAATATATCCTTTTTTCCATTTTCAACAACTATACATGTTTTGGTTTATAGAACTGTATGAATTTAGAAATGGAAACTCAAAACAGTTTTCTACCATAAAACAAGGCCTTAACCTTCTCTGTTTCTTGATTTGGGTGAGGGTTGGGTTTGTAAGATTTGGTTGGTTTGGTTTACTGCAGGTATCCACCACATGGAAGGAGAGCAGTTGCTATTGAAGCTGGAGTGGGGTGGGAAAGGCTAAGAGCACCTCCTATTGATACTCCTCCACATGATCTCCATATCTCTGATTGTTTGAATGAATTACAACCTGGTGATCACATTGAAATTCAATGGAGAAGAAACAAAGAATTCCCTTATGGTATCTTATTCATTATTGTTTTTTGTTTTCCCTCTTTTTGTAGCCTGGAGAAACATCTTACATATCTCCAAGGCATACGCTTCTGGCAAAGATTTATAATTGATTATTATTAGGATGTTGTGTATTTTAATATGAAGCTTGAGACTGGTGGAGGCATCATTTTCAGGGACATGATACTGGCACACCATAGCTTGTGCTATTGGATCTGCCATGCAGGCAGGATTTGATCCTAAATTCCTTTTTAATATCACTTCTGACTGTAGTATGATTATTTGGTTTCCTGGTAACTGGGTTTTTTCCTCTGTGCAACTGGGTTTGGGGTGTGAGGAGAGAAAGAAACTAAGCATTATCATGAACGTTAAGGAATTAACCAAGATTGCTATTATTACCGAGATGGTTTCACTTGTCAAATTTCTTGTGTCTTTTCTTTTAACCAAAGGGATTTTCAAATTGGTTTCAACTAATACTTATCTTTTATGTGTACTTAATGAGTTGACGCTCTTATGATCCCACTTAATTTTGCGCATGAATCTCTGAAAAATGCCATCTGAGAGAACAAATACAATCATGAAGACGAGAATATTTTAAGTAAATTTGTGGTAAATAGCGAGGATTCTCAGCTAAACAGATGTGTTATTTATATGTTGCAGGTTGGTGGTATGGCGTTGTAGGTCACTTGGAATCATGTGATGGGAATGAAAATCACTGCCTTTGCCATCATAGTGGTAAGTTGTTATCATCTTTTTCTTGCAACTGGCACCTTTATGCTGCATATGATTCTCATTACCTACAAACACAAGCACATGAAAAGGAACATTTTGCTCTTCTTTTGTTTATAATAAGGACTAGAGAATCATTTGGGTTGTCATTTTATGAGTTCAAAGTTGTGGGTTAGACTCTTAACAAACTTTGATAGTACTCAAATATCTCACATTATGACGACATTTCTCTCCAATTGAGTAAAGGGCTGAGAATGCTCGTGTGCTATAGTCCTGGTACTATGTCTCTGAGAGGCATGGTTTCGGTGTTTAGATTACAGTACAAGAAAATCTTAATTATTAAAAACTAACGAGTAATATAGTAAATTTACAAATTCTATGTCACAATATTTGTCAATACACCATTGTCTTATAGGTATAGTAAAATAAATTCTGGAGCAAGAGGCTCTTGCCAAATCCTTTTCCTTTTACCAGAAGTTTAATATGGTGAAGAAAAAAGACTACTAGCCATTTCTCAAGTTGAGGATAAGATGATGAGGGTATAAAAGCTAAAAAACATATGAGACCCCCATTCCAGGATATGTCCTTTTCTTGAATCCCATTTTCCCAAAATGTGGACCATCTGATTTTTTACATTTGGTTGGTCCCTGAGACAAATCCCTGTCAGCATGTTATAATTTCTACCAACATCTCTGATAATCTATGTCTCTCAGTGGAATTCATTTGTGGCCAACTATGCTGAAAGAAAGATGTTGATGTGTCCTTTAGCCCTTCTTTTGTTTTGCCTGGTTGGAATCTTTCCTCTTTGTGGGGCTGATTTAATCTCCAAAATTTTTCATTCAATTACCATTTTCACTCACCAAATTGTGTGCTTAAATCACCCACTAGTCCATTCACATCATCAGAAATTTTCTTTCTATCATCTTCTGAAATCATTATCATAATAGAAATTAAATCTGATCATTTTCAGTTGCCACTTGCAAATTGGCAAACATATCATTTCTGGCTTAATAGGCTTTTACCTTTTTCTTATTTGGTAAATAAGGCTTATCTTGAGAGGACAAAATCATGTTGAAAAATACCAATTTAGCCTCTGGTGAAAAGAAGGAATTAGTTCTTTTCAAGTTTTCTGGAGATAAGATTCTTTCTTGGCATTTAAAGAAAATAATTTGGATTCTTTGTTTGTTTTTCATTTTAGGGTGCAAAGTCAACTCGTAAAAATCAATAGGATGGCTCAACGTGATCGTGAGATTTGCTTCTCGATTACGTGATGCCTTTATCTCATTTTGAAAATTATGTGTGATTAACGAGTTCTTAAGGTCTTAAAGCCACTTACTGTCAATAAACAGATACAGTGGTGTTGGAATTCAATCAGTATACAGCCGGTTCAAGATGGAGACGGACCAGCATTGACCGGAAAGATCATAGAGAGGAAGGAAACGAGGCAGACGGGTTTTACGGGGGAGTCAGGAAGCTCAACAGTGACGA